GTCTCGGTATTAAGGCATGACACTCGTGAGTGTCTATCCAGTGCCATGTGTATTTAGAGTCCCCTCCACTCAAACTGGTGAGGACACGAACTACTCTCAGCTTTTTGTGAACCAGGAATTGTTGGGCCTACTGCTTTCTGATTCTTCTTTCGGTGGCCTCAGTGAGTTTCCTCTAGTGCATGTACAGATTATTACTCAGCCAAAGACTTGAGGGGACGTCTCTGAAGATCTCTGGAGCGCTCTCTCACTGCAGCTTCCTTCTCTCCAATCCTCTCCCACAAATTCTAGTTGCCTATATTCCCTTAAATTCATCTATCACTTCAGAGCACTAAGATCGCTAAGCTCAGCTCTTGTTTTCCCTGCCTGTACTGCACACAACCTGGAAACTGCCTCCGGGAGAAAAGTGATACAATCACAAACCTTACCTCATTTGTCTACATTCTGTTAGGGTTTATAGTCCTGGACCATCTATTGTCCAATATTTGAATATAGCTGTTCCATAGATTTCGTTTGATTTTCTAATTATTTATGATGGGAGGGCAACTCCCATAGCAGTTCATCCTTGTGGGAAAAAGTGGAGGTCTTTATACATTTTAGTAACAAACCAGCCTTCACATATTGTGATCTGCATTCATTTGTAAAGAAATCTGGTTTTCAAAGCCAAAGGTGATAATATTAAGGTACTTTTCTTGACCCCTTCTTCAGAGCCAAGTCGATGTGTAAGGCAAACATCCAGAGGCTCTGAACCAATTTGGTGTACTCTGTCATCTCCTTTCACCTGCAAAAGCAACGCTTCAACTCAGATAATTTCTCTCAGCTCTACTCACTCCCATCCAATATTCAAAACTCTCTTGACTCTATCTTAACGTCCCCAATTTCCGTTCTGTGCCACATTCCTACTCTCCACTTCTCAGATCAAGTCTTTCAATCTGATGTACCATTTGACCTATCTTATTAGCTTAAGTTTTTTCCTTACCCCTGTATCAGCATCCATTACAAGTGACATAAAATCCAACTTAAATTAGCTTTCATAAAACAGAGTTTACTGACTCTGTTTATTGACTAGAAGTCTGATGGCGGGTCAGGATTCTATTACTTGATTCTGGGGCTAAAAGATGTCTTCACTCTTTTTTCCCCAGCTTTACTGAGGCATAATTGACAAAGAAAAATTATATATATTTAAGGTGTACAATGTGATGGCTTGATATCCGTATACACTGTGAAATGACTAGCACAAGTGAAATTAATTAACACATCTGTCACCTCACAGAGTTACTTTTTTTGTTTTGTTATTGGTTTTTGGTGTGGTGAGAACCCTCAAGACCTACTCTCTTTCTTTGCTTTCTCTTGCATGATATCAGCTTTACCCTAAGGCCCGCCTCACTCGTAGTAGCAATATGGCTGCAGTACTTCCAGGCTTTTTATCTGAACAAAACAGTTTCGAATATGAGAAAGATAAAGAGTGATTCTTCCTTAGAAGTTGCCAGAAAATATCTTTTCCAACATCTTTGACTCAAGTCAGCCCATATGTCACCTCCAAACCAAAATTTTGACCAGATGATTGGACTATGTTGCTGCAGATGCAACCCCTCCCCTAGAGTGAAGTCAAGTTCCCACAAACATGTGGGCTGAGTCAAAGAGGAGTAGATAATCAAATGAAAATCAGGTGACCCAGAGAAGGCAAATGAATGTTGAGGGAGCAACTACAATGTCTACTACAACCTGAACTTCGCTTTCCAGAGCTGCCTTGGCCCTGTGTTCTGAGATTCACTGGCCATACTTAAACCTCTCCCACACAGCTTCAGAGTCTGACCCCAGGAAGCACCCACAGTCCTGGCTTATACAAGAGGGGAGTTTTAGAATAAGTAATTATCTTGGAAATAAATTTATTTCATGAACTTATTTCTCTATAGGAAGCTATACATATCTGTAATGTACTATCTATCATCACTGAGCTGAAATAGTTTCAAATACTTAAACCAACACTTAAATATTGTACCCTAACTTAGCCTCTTATTAGGTATATAACCTTGAGTAATTTGTCTTTTTTATAAAATGGGGATAATAATTGTACTTATTTATGGAATTTCAGAATAAAATAAACTTAATGTATGAATGCACATAAAACACTTGAAACATGCTTGAATGTAGGAAACACTCAGTAAATGTTCATTATTTACCTGTTATTTTTATATTATTGTTTTTAGTAGCAGGAATATTATTACTATTGGTACTTGAATATGTGACAATATACAGGTCCATTCATGATGTAATTCAATTACAGACAATTATTCTTCCTATATTTATCCCTTAGGCATATCACCCCTTTATCATCTCAAAGCATATATATCCATGTCAACTTTGTTTCCCTAGAAATTTATACATTAAAGTAAATTATGTTGAAATATACAATACATAGAAGGGCCTTTTTGGTTAAACAAAATTGTGAAAAATTTAACAAAGGCTTGATCATACAAAAGACCTATAATAATTACTGAAAGTTAACGTTAATGTTATATAAAATAAACAATAAAATATGTAAGTGGCACATTCTAAATAGGTCATAATAATGGGAAATCTCCAACTCACTTCTAGTTTTGAGGTAAGGATTCCTGAGAAGGTAGGTTTCAAAAAAACTGAGATGATGGAAAGGATGAAGCTTGATAAGTAAACAATCAGATGAGCCAATTTTTGACAAAGATGGTAAACCCCGGTAACAAAAATTTTAAATGTTTAAAAGGAAGGAAAAAAGGGAGGAAGGGAGAGAAGGGAAAAGAGAGGGAAGGCAATAGAAAACATCTAGGGGAAAGAGATTTAGGTTTGTTTCCTGAATCTGCCACCTACTAGCCATGTACTCTTGGGCAAATAACCTTTCTGATTCAATTTACTCACTCTTAAAACAACAAAAATAACAGTTCCTACATTATATTGTTTCATCAGTTCTAACATTTTAACATCTCTGAAATGAGAAAAAGCATGTCTTATAATCTACGGAATCTTGATTCAGTAAACTGTGGTAGTACTATGATGAGCACTGAATAAGATAATGCCTGTAAAGCACCCATCACAGGGTCAGGGCAATCTTCTTATTTAACTTCTCTGGCTACACTTGTAATTTCTTAAATTAGAAAACCCAAAGTTACTCCTCCTAAATTAAGCAGCTTGCCCAGGGTACAAAACAAAATATCAGGAAGTCTGCAAATCATAAATATAAAGTTAAATCAAGAAGAATTAGGAAAACACACCCTAAAATTGACTCCATTGAGAAATAAATAACATAATCTCTATAAGAAAAGAAAAATGAATGCAAGGAACTGGTTCTACATGTCCTAGGTCTAAAGACAAATTGTAATAAAAAAAGAAAAAATTTACATAATTTTAGAATCCAGGTAACTATGGCTCACTGACCAAATTCAAATCACCACCTGCTTTTTGCACATAAAGTTTTACTGGAACATATCCAGGCTTTTTTGTTACTTATTGTCTTTGGCTGATTTCCTGCTACAATGGTAGAGTTGAGTAGTTGCAACAGAGATAATGTGGCTTACCAGGCCTAAAAAATTATGTGGCCCTTTACAGAAAAAGTTTGCTGACCCTGCTATAGAACAAAACTGTGATGATTAATTTTATATGTCAACCTGACTGACCATTATGTGCCCACACATTGTTTCTGCGTGTGTTTATGACTGCGTTTCTGGATGAGATGAACATTTGAAAGAGTGGACTCAGTAAAATAGACTACCCTTTTCAATGTGGGTGGGGATCATCCAATCCCTTGAGGGCCTTAATAGAAGAAAGGCAGAGGAAGGAGGAGTTCGTCCCTTTTTTCCTGTTCCACTGTTTAGCTGGGACATCTCATCTCATCTTCTCTGACCCCTGAACTAGGATTCACACTGTTAGCTCCCCTGGTTCTCACTTCTTCCGACTTGGGCTGAATTACATCACTGGCTTTCCTGGGTCTCCAGTTTGCAGACAGCAGATTGCGGAACTTCTCAATTTCCATAACTGTATAAGCCAATTCCATATAATCTCCTATTGGTCCTGTTTTTCTAAAGAACCCTGACTAATACAGTAATATTTTGACTATATACCCTCAGGCTGAAGATATGGAAGAACTACAAACAAATCTTGACCTCTTATTTAGTTTTTATTTATAGCTATATGAGAGTTCTAATCCTGAAACTATGTTGTATGTATTACATGTATATATATATATCTAGTAAGTATTACAGGATTGAGCAAATGAGTAAATATTAAAGTTATTGGGAGCCACAGTTCTCACTGTGGGAAAAGAATATTACAAACATGGAATGAGAGAAAGCTAAGAAGAACCATGAACTTAGCTCTGTCTGCAGAAAGATCCTAAAAGCAATGAGTCTCTAATAGCAATTAGCACACCTAGTGCCTAGATCTTGATTTCTAAGTATCATTCCCAAATAAAATGAAACAAGATTATCTGGATAAATGGCAGATTCCACAGCAGGAGAAAAAAATGCAGTAAGATGAAACTGGAACATCTTATTGTGCAACAAAGTTTAAACTGCCCAAAAATTGATGGGACATATTAAGATAATCAAGAAGCCAGCTTAAAAAGGTTCTCACTGGCCAAATCTTGGGAAAATTGAGAGTCAAAAATAACATTTGGAGAAAGAGCTGATTCTAGGGCTGGAGAAGGAAAATATAAGACCAGCCTGGAGCATTTTGTGATGATAGAAAGTAAGAAATTGCTGGGCTGGGGAGGAACATGTGAAAAAAAAAAAAAAAGACCCAGAAGCCAACCTAAAAGAACTATGAATGACCAACATGGATACCCTGGGAAGTCACTCTCCCCAGGCTCTCTCCAGGTAGTGTAGGGGAGCACAGGGCTCTGCCCCATGTTGTACAGTCCCTTTCCACAATGTTGGAGATAAAGCCAGGCCTTGTTTGTACCTGCATATTCCTACAGCTTCTCAGGGTCCTATAGACAATGACAGGAGAGACAAACCATGCAGGAAACAGCTTTCTAGATCAACCAGCCTGGATCTGGGTTGATTCAAAGTGAAGGAAAAAATCTGCTTTAATCAGTTTTGCAGTACTACTGGATTAAGCTCTTACCTGCCCTATTTTACAGCATTCATTCGGGATTCCAAACAACTTAATTTGGGGAGAGAAGAGGAGCCTTACCTAACTGTGTAGTTAACACTTATGCAGTTAATCAAATAAAGGACCCCAAAGTGTTAAGTTTTTGGCAGGGAGAGTTGGTAAAGTAAGCAGTACACCATCTTTGGAAGATAAGCCTGGACAGTTTGAAAATGTTTGGGCACAGTGTTTAACCCTAGAACTGCACCTTTAAGACCAGCAGAGTAATAGAATATCCTGTTGACCAGGGGCCCACTGAAATTTTTAAGGAATTCCAGAAGACATTTGAGTGTGGGCAGGTCTATATAGTCTTTTGACCTGGGAGCCCAGAGACCCTTCCAGGTTTCCTATGAGTTGGAAACTTGTCATAATAACACTAAGATATTACTTGACCTTTTTTACTATTCTGAAGTAAACTGGATTTTCTAACAATGAGTGGAAAGCATATGCCCGTTAGAACCTAGATGTCTTATTAAAGAGATCCATGTCAGTTTCAAATGTATTAACGAATTATAATAAAGATGATTATATACATTTAAAAAAAGAACTACAAATGGCTAAAAGTGGAACAAATGGAAAAAAAAACTAATGTAGTACTGAATTATAACCCAAAGTATAAAATAAATATGCATAAGTCAATAGCAATATAGATAAGTGATTTAATAAATAAATGGGAGCAAATTGAAGGGACAAATTTTCCTTACAGAAGAATTCTAAACGATATATGTAGATACTCCCCTCCCTTAAGAAGTGGAGCTTAATTTAGAGCCTTGAGTACAGGCTTCTTGCCAAAGAATGTCTATTCCAAAAAACAGAGAAAGAAACAGGGGAAATAGAAATTTTCAGGAGAGAAATCTGACAGACACTAAGTTAATATCATCAGTGATAAGTCAGGTTAATATGATGTACCACTAAATAGAATGCAATGAGAGAAGCACCTTACCTCTGTGGTATTCTTTCCCAAAACCCATAACCCCAATCTAATAATGAGAAAATATCTGACAAACCCAAAGTGAGGGACTATCTACAAAATATCTGACCAGTAAATCTTCAAAACTGTCAAGGTCATGAAAAGAAGGAAAGACTGAGAAAACATTACAGATCAGAGGAGACTAAGGAACTATACTGACTAAATGAATTGTGGTGTCCTGGACTGGATCTTGGAACAGAAAAAAAAAGGTATTAGTGGAAAGGCAAATAAAGTCTCTAATTTAGTTAATAGCAATGTTCCAAAGTTGGTTTCTTAGTTTTGACAAATATAGCATGTTCATGTAAGATGTTAATTTTAAAGGGAATTGGGTGAGGAGTACACAGAAACTCTATATTATCTTTGCAATTTTTCTATATACCTAAACTATTCCAAAACTTAAAGTTTATTTTTAAAAAAGACTAATGATAACAAAGAATGATAATACATAAGCAAACAAGAATGTAACAGTATATGCTGATAGTAAAGGTAAAAGAATGAATGAGTGAGTGAATGAATAAGAAAGAAGGAAAAGCTCATTCTAACCACAGAATATCAGCTAATAACTGTAAAAGGAATGATGGAGTGAGAATATTTCATTTTACAACCATGATAGCAATAATCAATTCAGGCAACAATCAGAAAAAGATGTTATAACTATTGTGTAGTATTTTAAGGAGAAAAAGATACACAGCGTCAGAGAATCTTCTCATGTATTACCTACTAATTTCCAAGGGAAAAATGGTTAATATCACCAATAATGGGACAAGTGACATCACATACCCTCTAATATGATGCACTCGGAAAGACACATCCGAGTCTTATATAACCGAGTCATCACTTATATAATTCTCCTATAAAAAATTCCTAACCTATATTTACTCATAGGGAAACAGACAAACCCAACTGAGAGACATTCTGTAAAACAACTGGCAGGTATTTTCCAAAAATATGGATGGCATGAAAGAAAAAGAAAGATCAAGGAACTACTATGAGTTAAAGAAGACTACAGAAGCATAAAAACTAAGTGCAATGCATAATTGTGGATTGAATCCTGGGTGGAAAAGAAAAAATGTTATATTACCATTGGTTCATGCTAATAAACCATTCAATCCACATCAATTTGTATCTAAATTCAGTTCTGCCATATGTGATGCAGAAAACAGAACCAGACAATTACACTCCAGAATTAATATGACTTCTACTTATAGAATTAACATTAAAGAAATAATTAAAGATACTCCAAAGAGTTAACACTGTGAGGATATTAATTGTAGCATTATTTATAATAGTCAAAATTTTGAAAATAACCTAAATGTCTGTATTTAGGGTTCTTTAAGTTGCAAGTGACCAAGAATTCAATTTATAAGGGCTTAAACAAAATGAAAACGTATTGGTTCTTATAACTGAAAAATACCCAAAGGCTTTAAAGCTGTTTTCAGGTTCCAACAATGTCACCACAATCCACCTTTAGAGTCTGATTATTCTGAGGGTCAGCTTCATTTTCTAACTGGTCCACCTAATGATCATCATTTAAACACTATCAAATTCAGAGCATGAAAATCTTCTTTTCCCCAGAAGTGCTAACAAATGCTTTCTTGCATCATACTAGATCTAACTTGGTTACATATAAACTCTGATTCTGATCATAGGGCTTTGCTAGAGAAATCTCACCCAGAAACATGGCTAAAATAGCATATGTCTACAAAAGAAATGTGGGATACAATTACCACTAACAGGGAGAACTGATGCTATGCAAAAGACACGGGTATGTACTATGTTGTCTAGTGATAAGCCATTGCTTAAATGTATTACTATATATCCATTAAAATTATGTTGCAGAAAAATGGAAAAGTTGTCACAATAGATTGTTTAGAGGACAAGCACTAACTAAATAATAGAAAATATTTACAACAAAAAATTACTAGTGGTTATCTCTGAACGGTAGGAGTTCTTAAGTCCTCTGAACTCATAAGCAAAATTTCACGTGTATAAGCCATTTAGCATGCATAAGCTTCACAGGATTCATTTGGTTCTCAAAGAGTTATCATTCCCAAAAAGGCAAGAATGAATGATTTTGAAGCTGAGGAAACTGAGGTTCAGAGAGGTTTAATGCCCTCCTTAAGGTCACACAGTCTGCTAAATCACAGACCAAGCCAAGAGTCCCAGTCTTCAAATCCCTGAACAGGCGCTCTTTCCATTTTGCCACACTGCCTTAACTTAGCTGCCTGGGCAATGTGGCCCAGGTTTCAGCTCCTTGCAAATTAAAATTCTACTAAAAGTTATGCACTAGACAAACTGTTCTATTTTTAAAGGTATTGCAAAAGTTAGGAAGTTTCTAATGCAAAAGAAAGAAATTAAAGAGAGGAAGCTTTCTCAAATTTGGATCCATGGATCTCTTAGAAACATGCAATGGACTTATTCCCAAGGGTCAGCAAGTTCCTTATAGTAACATTTTTACTTCTGTTTTTATTTTAAAATAGTGTAAAATTAACACTCTAAATCATCCTGATGACTCCTAGTAGAATATAAACTCTGTGAAGGCAGAGCCTTTTTCATTTTTATTCATTGCTATATCCCCAGGGAGTAGAATAGGGCTTGGCACATAGAAGTATCTAGCATATGAATTACTAATGCACAAATGAATAATTTCTGCCACATAACCTCAGTGCTCATGTTTGTGTTACATTTACACTGGCATTAAGTTGCACTGCTTTAATTGCTAAAAGCTAAGGAGAAAAGGGAAAGATAGGTTAAGTAAGTAAATGATATACTTGCACTTAGTTGAGGCCAAATAACATCCCAGTTTGCTGTACAAATAAATAAAGGAAACTGGTTAAACAGTTGTCATGACATGGCACTATTAATTAGATGTGCCAAATTCAAAGAAACCCATCCCATAGCAGACAGGATCAAATTCAACATTCAATAGATGCAAATAGATGTTTCAGTTTCAGCAAAACAACATCGTTCAGCTTACTAAGTTAAAGTTTTAAGTTTTTTAATGTTTAATTTATTGATTTCCTTGAATTTTGTAGAAGCTAAAGCATAAGAAATGTATGCCTAATTTTATGTTCTTAAATATTTATATAATTTACAATAAATAATTGTCAACACCAGGTGTCTAAAACATTTTTGCCTCTAAAAATTGTCTTTGTATTATTCACATTTTAAAACCAATAAAGTAGTGTTAGCACGAGCCAAGAATTAGGAATTCAAGTCAGTTTTGTAAAAGACTTATTGTATAACACTGAGTTTTAATATCACTGTTTCCATTTTTAATCATAAAAGTGGGATTACCTTGAAAAGTATTCAGCAGAATAATTTTATCAATCATAAATTTAAGAATCTTAAATAACCTAGAAAAGCATCCAGTCCAACCCCTCATTTTACAAATGAGGAAGCTCAGAGGCATTAGGGTGACTTGCCCAAGGTGACCTAATAAGTCATGGCAGGAGTGGGCTGAGAACCTACATTTAATCATTGCTAAAATGCGAAGCATTGTAAAAATACCTCTTAATGATAATAATGCTTTAACTCAACAGCCTATTGTTCTTAAATTGATTCCTGGGCACTGTTCTTGTTACACTCTTTAAGTACAAAGAAAAGCAGCAGACTATTCTGGATTTATACAATCGCATTTGAGGGCTGACATTATTGTAATTGCTTGGTCCTTGAGTCAACTGGCAGTGCATCAACCATTAAAATCAAAAGCATGTAAGGAAGCAGGAAGATCTTGGCAACGCATAAATGCACTTAGGAAGAAAAGTCAAATTTGAACCTATCAACCTCGGCAGTTTTCCTTTAAGAGAACACAGAAAAGCCACACTGGCCATGGAAATTAAAACTGCATTCTAAATGAATGAGAGATGATGCAAAAATGAGAAGCTGAGGAAAGAATAATAAGCAGTTGAA